GCCAACCGGAACTGAATCAAAGTCATAGCCTGAGTTGACGATATTTGCAAGGATTGTTGCAGAGACTTCTTTCAGTCGCATGGGCAGTTGGTTAGCCCCAACAAAGAAGAGATTCTTCACAAGAGGGGGAAGTATACCTGCCTCTATGAGGATCTTGGCACTAGACTCGTAAGATGAGATTTGATTTAGAGATTTTAAAGCAGCCTCCCTTGATGACATGTTACCATGTTTCATGATGTTGATCAGTGATGAACCAACAGTCCTTGCCACCAATACTTTCACATCATTATTGAGAACCAGCTCACCAAGGAAAGCAGCCATGGAAAGTTTGGTTTCTGGTGATCCTGTAACAATTGATGGGACAATAAAATTAACTTGGAAGATGTTGAATGAAAAAGCACACAATTTTGCTTAGAGAGATGTAACCAGTATAACGAGAAAGTATGGCCAATCTGGGACATTGCTGCCAAATATCCATGGTAAATGAGTTTGTGTGTATCTACTTACCTCAAACACAATGAGCATGAAGCAATCAGTTTTAGTAAGTATATAAGTCTGAAAAAGAAAATTTTAGAATGGAAACAGGCAACAGTATGTGATTTTTTGGTTAACCCAAAAGACATCAGAAGGGGTTATGCCCCAGCTCCCCTCCAGATTTTCAGCCTATATTGCTCGGACTCTCCAAAAATGTTGCCGGATGCAAAAGTAGTGTACTTTTGGAGGATCCGACATGGGTGCGGCAGCATTTTGGAGAGTCCGGGCAACATAGTTTCCTGCCGACCCACCACCAAAAAGAACCACTAAACGCAAAAGTAGACGCGCACACACACACACAAATATATGTCTAGTGAGCGTGTCCTCATGTGTGCATGTGGAAGTCTCTCAGAAATTAAAGTGATAAGGCGTCAGCCCATCACTACTAGATCTCTTACCAGAGGATTCATCACCTATACTAAGAGACGATCTTGTATATAAAAGGAATCATGCTAACCTACCAAATTAGGCAGTGGCTATATAGTTCGAAAACCACTGATTACATTCTTGATAAGGAACTCTCTCTCCTTAACCCCCCCCTTCTCCCCATGTGAGTGAGGGAGTGAAACTTGTATTATTTGTATAATCAAGACTATATAGTCAGATATGAGACCCCGCAACAACATACCCCAAAAAAATAAAAAAGAAGAACTAAGGTATAAAAGAGACAGTCTACACTGTTGGAGAAAGAGTCAGAGGAAATCAAAGAAAAATGAACAGCGACATAAGGAGGAAAAATAAATCCTACATGATAATCAGGATAGTTTAAATGAAACTTCAGACCTAACGCAGGTATTCCAGAAAAAGTTGTTATCAAAAATCTGAAATTGTTCCACAGCTTTGGGTCTCCATCAATCTATGATGATGCATCCAGATACTTAGACTTAATCCTTCTAAGGCTCTACAGAATGATATGATGAGGAAAACAATAACGACTATGTGTTTAGGAAGAGTTCCAGAAAGCATCATAAAGCATTCCAGAATGCATCCCAATAACCTGACTGTTCAACTGCTAAAGCTTTGAAAGTCAAGCCTTCATCTATAACAGAAAGGAAACCCAGATATGATTTCAGTTAGAAAATGTTCATGGAACATCATGAATTCCTTGCCATGAATATCACACAATTTTGGAGGTAAAGCATTCACTTGCAGCGCATGATATTTCAGAATCAACTTATATGCTAAATAAGGAAGTGAAAATACGACAAGGAGGGAAAGCGATGCAAATAAAGAGAGTGGCACATGAAGAAACTTCAGTTGGCTGGGCAAAGGAAAAGAAAGAAAGAAAGGATGTAACGATTGCATGGACATCTTACTGATCGACGAAAGCCAAACTTGAGACAAGTTCTTCTCCACCCAAGGATAGCAGATGCAGAAATAAATGAAACTTTCATGAAAGCACTTTTACTTTAAGAGTTTGCTGTTCATTGTCACCGTAGTAAATTTGCTATTGTGATAAGTCCTGTAGCAGTTCTTTAGGATTGGGGTTATTAGTTAGGTCATATTTATTTTCAGTAACTTTTTTATTAGTTGTTCCCTTGTCTTAAAAATGTCATCTTTAGTACCTTTGAATCAGTTTCTCGATTCACAACAATTAGGAGTCCTAGATTGTATAGGATGAGGATTGTTAGTCCTTTTTCCTATAAATAGAACTGTATTTCAACTTTGTAATTCATTCAACCATTATTATTAATGATATTTTGTCTTTTGGCCTTTATATCTCTGTATAGAACTTCTAGAGTAAGTTTTTCCCTTGATTTTCTATCAATAAAATACAGTTTAAACATACTTTGAAGTGAAGAACTTCCTACTACGCTGACGCTCTCACATTTCAAAACTCCTCATGGCGTATGACTTACAATACCTATTAATTTGAGCTTGTTGTTTCAACAATAAAAGGCAACAGAGAGAGAGAGAGAGAACAAACAAATAAACAACAAGCAAGCTGTCATCCTCTGAAGCCATCAAGCAGAACAAATAAACATTTATAGTACATACAAAGACGCACAAGAGATGGAGATTCAGACATCAAGTAAAGTACCTTCAAGCAGTAGAGTTAAGAGGGGCCGCAGCCGACCATTTTCAGCCATTTGTTTTACATTAATCTCACACTTCTCCAGGTTCTCCAGAGTATTCTCAGCCTTCTCAACAGTCACAAGATTCTCCGATTTGCTGCTAGCCATTCCAACCAGAATCAGAATTGCCCCATTAACTGAACCAATTTTTTCGCATATAGTCTTAGATTTCGATAGCTCGTACAGCAAAGAAATGGCTGCCTCTCTTTCTTTGGATTGTTCATTTGATAAGAACTTCACTATTGTCCGTACATTGTCGCCCTCAGCCATTATTTCCTGAGGAAAGAGCAGGGCATATGATAAAAGAAATTAAAAAGGGAAAAACATAAATAATAGGAACAATCAACATCATACAAAAGACTTTGGTAACACCATAAGTACTTTTTTACCAAAGTTCTACAACCTTATTATCAATGTCGTCCTCTACCACAACTAGAAGCGTTTCAAGAGCTTTACATCGAACTCTGCGGCTGCTACTTCTTAACATTTCTACAATCATGGGTATGAGCTCCGCATTTCGGATAACATGTTTGTTAGAGCGACTTTTTTGGCAAAGGTGTTGGACAAACTTTAAAGCCTGCATAATATCACCCTCCCCACTACCCAGAGATAATGATCTGCGAGCCATATCAATTTGTGCAGCTTCATTCCTTGCATTCCACTCTTCAATAGTATTCCGTAGAGCTATACTTGGATTCAGCTCCGTGCTATTCAGATCTCTATGCGTTAAAGGGCACACAGGCTTTCTTCCACTATCCCTACATTCATTGAACCATTTCTCAATAGCTTCCCTCTCGAAAGTCATGCCATTTTCCAGAGTAACAGGATCCTGCATTACTTGTTTTGTCAAGGGACATATAAATGCATCATAAATTGGTTCTATGTGCAGTCTCTCGAGATGGTAACTCTCCTCGGACGGGCTACCAGGATCATGATTCCCATCCCAGCTTTCAGCCATTAAAGCTTCGTACCTGTCAACGCATCTAACATAACTTCAAATCCTAACACAAAAATCTCAAACAAATGGCAGCTCACGCATAAGCCGACCTCTTGAGCAAGAGTTTGCTCCTATTATTATGAAATGCTACTATTTCCATGATGTGATGGAAAAAGAAAAACTAAACTAGTGAAACAATATTGTCCCTTGTCCATTTTCCTAGACTTTAATTCTAGAGATGAAAGCAAAAATAAAACAAGAAATAGAAAACAGAGAGGTTTCATGGAATGCTATACAATACTTAAGTGTCCACTTATAGGAATTCTTTTAACCAAGCTTATGTTTTTAATCAAGCCATCAGCATTTCTCTTCTATTCAATTGTTGTCATTACTCTGCTTTAATGATATACAGAATCCATCTTTGAAAATGTGACCAAAACTAAACAAAAGGAACTTGTAACAGAAGATCCCAAAAGAGAAATGACTGGGGTGGGATACAAATAGTACCCTTCTGTAATCAGAGATCAAAAGTACAATGATCCAAACAAATTACAAATAGTAAAATTAACAATTCACCGGTCAAGTTCAATGACCAAAAAGAAGTCAATATAAACCAAAACTAGTTGTACCTCAATTTCAATTGGCAAAAAAAGAAACACCCTTTACTTGGGGCAGTTAAAAAACTAGAATTGAATTGAAAAAAGCATCAGTTAACCAAAAAAGCTCATACCTTTATGGAAAAAGACTTGTTAACTCAAGTCAAGACTAAAAGGGAAAATATGAAATCAACTTTGCAACAAAGTCAAATGATGAAATTGAGCAGAATTCAGATTGTTCCATAAATCTTGAATTTAGGGTTTGAATAGGGCCATGTTGGAGAGGAAGAAGGAAGGGAAAGAGCTGGCAGCAGGAGTTGATGTTGATGAATGAATACAACAAACAAGTGGAAAACTACAAATTATGATTTTTTATTTATGTAGTTGGGGGGATATTTAAATACTTAAATTGTTGTGTTGACTCATAAAACTTCGTTGACCTATGAGGAACACATATTCTTTGCTCTGCAACTTCAGAAAACCGGCCTTCCTTTCTACATTGTGAGTAGCATTGGAGTAAAACTTTTGTTATTTTCAATATTTACTAGTAGTATTTTTTTTGTTGCAAATAATATTTAGTAAATTTAAATTTATTTTTTTGTCTTTATTAGTGTTACAAGTTAAATAATTTAATTACTTATCTAAACATATGGAAAACAAAAGAGCTATACAAGCTATACCAATTAGTTATGATTGAGGTTTTGTTATGTTGATGTACTTACATTAAATCCAATATTTGCCAAGAAACTTAATCGATTTAAAATAAAGTTAAAGTTGAGAAAATGACACCGTATAGTTACTCTCAAAATAATAGTCAATATATATATATATATATATATATATATATATATATAATATTTTTAAAATATATAAATTTTATATACTTTTCCGACCAACGATGTAAATATTTTCGGCCGGAGGCTAAAAGTGATCTTTGTCATTCGTATATTGGAGTCGAAATAAGTGTCACATTAAGAAAACTTCTAATTTTCGAGAATCTCTAATTTGTCTTAAATTAGTTAAGAATGAAAAAGGGAGTATAAATAGAAGAGAATAGACATAAATAATTCTTATAGTCAATCGACTCAATCCAAAGTTGATTAAATAGAGACGTTTTCGGTGTACGTAAGTACTAAATATTTTTTTTTCTTTGTTGCTTCTCATTGTTTTCCCCTATCCCTTTCCATTAGTGTAAAAGCTATCCCTTTTTTCAAGATACATGCACTTTTCTTTTTTGTTTTTTTTTTCTTGGTCCTAACATGCACATTTTCTTCAATTTATCATTTGCAAGCCCTTTTCTCGACCAGGCAATATAAGGAGGGGGGAAAAGGATGAGAAAAATGACAACCTAATCATCAAATAGCACAAAGTAAATGCGGGGTATAAATAAAATAAACAAGGATTTTTAGCAACTCCACCATTCCAAGTTTAAATGAAACGACACAAAAAATAAAAATTCAAATACAGACCAATAATTGCTTGGAATTTAGGCTTAATAATTATTGTTGTTTATATATATACATTTACTACGTTAAAATCGCTCAAGAAAGCAAAGTGACATTGTCATTTTGCAAGATATAATTTAGTCTAGTATCAAGTGGACAAGTACTTTTCAAAGGACAAGGATCTATGTTATTTCTTTAATCTCAACAATCAGAATTTGGATACCCTTGCAAAAAAGATCACTAGTTAAGATGTTTCATATTTGATCACAACTATGTTACCAACTAAGGAGTACTAGAACAAAAAGCTGTTTATAGAATATATCAATAAAAAATGAAATAAATATACAAAGCAGCTACAGTTTACAGTGATATCTATATTAAGAATCTCTTCTATTTCCAGGTTCCAACCCCTTCCACCTGGAGTGATCAAAATAATTCTCTTCTTTACCCAAGTGGAAACAATATCCACAGGATTGATCTCCAATATGGACAACTATGTTATCTCTAGTCAGGGAAAAGCCTTAACTTCAGTCTGAACTTAAAAAACAGATTTCACCAGCTCCAAAAGCACTTCTTCAGTCCAAAAATCCATGTGAAAAGGACATCAAGCCATCTCTTCCGCAAATATGATATCAAAAATGAATTGTACTGCAGATGAGAAGCAATTAGAATGTACAAGTGTGGGTTACTAACAACATTATGTGTGTGCACTTCAAACAATATGTTAAAAGCTTCTATTTGAGCAAAGCTGAAGCTCAACTCGAGCTAACAAAACCTTACTGACATAACTCTTAATAGCAGCTACAAGCAAAACTACATTGTTCAGAGGCTTCATATGGTTGCTCTTACCTTGTACATTTCCGAGGATCTTTAACTCACAGGCATTAGATAACTTGATGAGATTATTAACACAAAATTACACACTATTAGTCACTAAAACAGCATTATCGTGGGTAACAGCTGCCTTAACACCTAATCGGCAAAGAAAGAGAAGAGGAATCACAGAACTACATATCTGAGACTGGACTTGTAGAATTCATCGATTTAATACAATTCAGTATTTTTAATCTCTTAAGTTAACTCCTGACCATTCTAGGTTGACTAAGCCTAGAGATCAGGTAATCCAGGAGTAAGAGGCAATATATAACTTTTCTTTCTTCCATAACAAACTCGTCGTGTTTTAGCAAGTTAATATCCATATCTTTGCTTCAGGCCACAATAAAAGAATGTCTGCCTTCTAATTTAGGTTGTCCTTAACTTGTGTCTGACAGAATATTACTGACTCATGTCAGACAAATGTCATACTCACATATTGGTACTTCTAAGTTCTATTACAAACTTTTTATTTCCTTTTTCGAAGAAAGAGAACTTGTAATTACCACATCAAATTTTGATAAAACCAAAATACATTTTCAGTTCTTCTCTTCATAAACGTGCAAAGTTACAACTGTCATGCTATAACAGTTTGTTCCGACAACAAGATGTTCATTTAACAGGAAAGAATAACTGTCTATAGACTGTTGGATTCATACTCACTCCGCTTTTGTTGTTCCCTTTTTTTTTTTTTAGGATGAATAAAGATGGATAGTTTCATTCATGATGCGACTTGCACAAATTCAAACCCACGCCATATGCCACATGGATTAACAAGTCACTTGAATTGCTTTACTCCATCAACTTTTTTCTCACCTTCCTCTTTGGGGATGTTAGGCTGATCAACCAACAGTTGCTGTAGCGCACCTAAATCATCAGTTGCACTGCAGGAAAGTCAAGCTTCAGTATGTGCATAAATTTTTAGAAAGAAAGAGAAACGGAACCTAATGACAAGACTAGGATGAAATCCCAGAACATCCCAATGCTCTTCGCGAAACGAAACAACAGGAGCTTGATTTTTGACTCAGAAACAGATATCAAGCCAACAAAACAGGAAAAAGAAAAATAAATTGACAGGACATTGACCACCTATACCCTAGCTCTGTCAGTGAGATCCAGAAAGGAAAATAAGTGGCAAAAAACTGTGTCATATAATACCTGGGTTTTAACGCAACTGCTGATATTGCTGATATGACCGATAATTTAAGACGACACCTGAAATAGTGTACTGAGGAATCAGTAACGTAAAGTGTTCAATGCTTAATAATGCGAGGATAAGAACTAGTTCCTATAGCAAAAGAAAACTATATCAAATCCATTCGAGGTGACAGGAAGAAGGAGAAGAAAGAGGTAACTTGATTTCAAACCAAAATTTTGTTCATGTTAACCTACCATAGCAAATAGCACAGCTATATCATTTTCATAGTAAAGAGAAAAAGCTCCTGATGCAGGAAGTGAACTTAGTGATACTAAGGAGGTGATAGTGGATTGCATGATTATATAGCATTTTTCTTTTCGTGGATAACTATATGAATATCTAATTCATAGGAAGAAAGATCAAAGTCCAGCTATATTACTAGGAAACAACATATTCACAGCTAATAAAGGCTCAACAATGGAGTTTACTAGTACTAAAAGACAATGAAATTTCTCATTTAAGATAAACAAGGCAGGAAAAGAGAAACAGGAAAAATATAAATTTCTTAGATATGCATACTCCGATTGGTGCATCTCACAAAGAAGTTTTAGCCCATCCAAGCAATCAGCAATACTTGGTTTTATCCCAACACGTTGCTGCAGCTGTTTCACAGTTACCTGAGTGGATCCCCCTTTTACGAGCTGTCTACCATCACGAACCATCTTCTCAAGCGATAACACGACAGAACGAAATTTTTCCCTACATTTTGAACCAAACAGAAAGAGGGGAAAAGAAGAATAACCCTCTTAGTTGATAATCAACATCTAGCTCCAATAACTAAACGCACAAGTAAACTGCAGAAGCAATTCACTTACTGCTCCATAACATTACAAAGGAGTACAACAAAACTCATCCCACAGTTTTAAGAAAGTTAAAAAAAAAAGAGGAAAATAATGCTACTTTTGCTAACATAATCAATTACCAACAAAAAAACAAAACAAAAAATTCGAAAGAGCAATGACAAATATTCGACTTTTATAACTGAGGAAAGTGTCTGTTTGCCACTAGTTATTTTATCTCTAGTTAGAGACTTGCATATAAGTGTTTCAAATAACCTCTAGTTTAACTTAAAAGACTAATTTTTTGGTATTAGAATGAAATGAGCCCGAATAGTAAAAGGATTCATATAGCCAACCCCAACTAGTTCGGATTGACATATAGTTGATTGATTGACATAACTAAAATCATGAAACTCAAAGACAAAAAAAAAAGGACCTACAAAGTTTGATTCATAGAAATCAAAATAATTTGAAGAGACTCCATTTGTTTAAGCAAAACAGCTTCTTGAATGCCTTCAACACATCTCAATGCACCATAATTCTTAGAATTTTGAAGAACCTGCACACAAAAAGAAAAGGTACTCTTTTTACAAAGGGCAAAAAAAAAAACTATGTCAAAAGCCCCATTTGAACGTGGTTGTATAAAAAGCTGGGGAAGTTACCTGTAATCTCTGAATGATGGAAGAAACATTAGTGAACTGAGAAAGCAGTCGAGATTGAAGATCATTCCACGTGTCCATCTCTTCTTTCACTTTCCTGAATCTCTGCTGATACTTTTTAACTATATTTTCCATATCTCCAATTTACCTAAAGACTATCAGTAATTAATCAAAAACCATTAAAAACATCGGCTGAGACATACATACAGAGAGATAAGAGAGAGAAACAGAGATATGCGTATATGAGTTACAGAGAGAGAGGAACTTGCAACTGGAGTTGGCCGGAAAAAGAAACGGCGGTCAGTTGTTTTGGCTGAAGATTTCCTTTTTTGTTTTTTAAAACAGAGAAAATATGGAATTTAAGGGGAGCATTGAAGCAAAGATTAAGTTATTTTCCTTTACCGATAGATTACGCGCGTTTATGGTTTGGGTTGGATATGTTTTTCTCTAAAAACAGACCAAACTAAGCAAGTCGTTTTTTTAAATATTAAAATTAAATTAAACCAATTAAATTAGTTTTTATCGGTTTATTATTTTTTTCGATTATTTATCGGGTTTTTTCTTAAATATGATACATATACTATCAAACACATATTTCGACGATTACATTTTCAACGTAATACTATCAAATCAATTGCTCTTTGAAAAATTTATTATTTACGAAGATATATTGATGATAATTGAATCAAATAGTGATGAAAAATATATTTACTCAATTAAAAATTAAATATTTTTAACATGAAATAAATTTTTGTACTTAGAAAAAAAAATATCAATCAAACTAGAATGTAAAAGCAAAAAATCAAATCATTATAATAGCAAAGAATTAGACTAAAAATACAAAAGACTAATATATACCATAAAATTTTAGAAACTTTATATAAAAATATACGTATATATACTTGTAATAATAAATTTAAATAGTTACTTTTATAGTCGGTTTGGTTCGATTTTTTTCGATTATTTTTTGATTAAAACCAAAACCAAACCAAATTTGGTCGGTTTTTAGAATTCAAAACTAAAACCAAACCAAACCTAAAAGGTGTCGGATTTTTTTTGGTCTGTTTGGTTCGGTTTTCGATTTGGTTCGATTTTTTGAGTTTTTATGAATACCACTACTATAGATCACATATTCAAACAGTAAAATTAGCCAATGATACTTGCATCATGGTACGCTGTATATATTACACCCGTGAGGTACGGTCCTTCCCAGACCTCCGGACCCTATACATTTTGCACCGGCCTGCCCTGGAAAATATGGAATTTAAAGAATCCTAGAATTTAATTTCTATAGTTTCTTTTACACTATCAGATCAGGTTAGACCGTAAAGATAATTATCTATGAGTAGCGAAATTTAGTGAGCTAAAAATAAGACAACTAATATGGTTACAACAAATTAAGAAAGCTTTTTAAAATATGCACAACCTTCAAAAAATGGTAAAAATATGATATTTTTTGGATTGTCTGTAAGTTTTGAGCCCCACTGACTCTAACGGCAGAACTTCAAGATCAAAAGTTAAAAGTGTTGCTCATGCCGCAAGCGAATGTCAACACTTATTAAACTAGAAGTTCTGCCCATAAAACAAGGGAAAAAAAAATTTAAGACCATCCACGTTAAGGACTATTTGTACTCTTCACCCCTCAACCTTTACTAGAGATTATTGAGTCTTTGTAAGATGAACTAAAACAAATTTTTTTGTTGTTTTCGTACTGTAATATGGTTCCAGTTACAACAAATTAAATTGCATTATTAATAATTTTATCGGTAGCTAAAAGGTCTCGACTCAAAATCGACACTATAAATTATAGTAGAACCTTTCTAAATTAATAAACTCCTTGAAATAATATTTTTCTCCGGTCCCGACTTGAGATAGTGGAAAAAATCACTGACTTCGATAAGATAATAAAATAATATATTTTTGGAAGATTCCTATATAATATACAGTCCCATTAATATTATAAATTAATAATTTTTTAAAATTACAAAAATATCTAAGACAATTTAGTGAAATATGATTCTACTATTGTTTGTTTTTTCTTAAAGTTTAAATCTAATCGAAGTTCATCTCTAACTTTTCTTATTACATCTAAAAGTTCTAGTGTTGTCTTCTCGAACTGCACCAAAAAATTATGAAGAGTTCTAGACGCGATAAGTGCCTCCTTACACGTATCGTCTTCAACTTCATCATCAACATTGTTTTCTCCGATGGTATCCACAATTTCTTCTAAGCTCTGGATCTCTGAACATGTATTATTTTCACCTGGGGATTGACAACTATTGTTGGGTACGGTTTGAAGAAATTTTCTATGTTGCTTATATAGTTTACTCTCTCACCATCATACATTGGATGTTTTTAGTAAAAATGCAATGAATAATATTTGATTATTAAGAAACAATGAACATTACAATGATTTATTAATTACAAATGTATAAACAATGAGCATTACAATGAATCATTTAATAAATAAAAAGCACTACAATAAAAATATTACAATGAATCATACATCATACATTGTACTTTATGTATACTAAATTTATCTTTTATAATAAATCAATAAAAATGATACATAAGTTAATAGAGATACAATGATTTTGATGTAATCAAAATTAACCTTCATTGAATCTCGAAAATACTTTTTAAATTAATAAATATTAATTTATCGATTAAATAATACCTCTAAAAATAATAATAATATTTCATGGTCTCGACAATATTAATTTAGAGAGATTCTACAATATAATTGTGTAATCGTGAAGAACTATTTATTAATTTTTCTTTACCAAAAAATATTTCATTGTATATTGCTTTCCTTAATTTAACACGACAAGGTAAATATAAGTACTCTTAATACATGCCTTCCTAGTTTAAGAAGATTTCAACTCTTATTGAAGACGTGCCCGATATACATATGAGGGCCTTTCAAACCTAAAGAGGAAAGATGTATTATATTTTTTGGTGTTTGTCGGACTAGATTAATATAAAAACGTGAAAAGGTAAAATAAGAAGCTATTAGCTTGAGATTTTTAAGTTGAATAATTTTTTTATCTTTTATGTGTTGCATTAAAAAAAAGAAAAATTAATTTTTTGAATAATTTTTATCTATAATAGTCAAATAATATTTAAATGTCAAATATTATTACACGTGTATAATAGTTATTCATTATAAAAGTTATGAAAATATATATAAACCAAGAAAACATGAACTGTTAAAGAGAAATTTGACTTTACTACATTATTTGGTGTCTTTGTCGAAAAAAGTTGATAGAAAAACGTGAAAAGGAAAAATAAAAAGTTACAAGCTTGCGCAATTCATTTGATTCTCTAAAAAGTTATGGCTAAGGAGTAAGGAAGTTATCGTTTTGGCATAATTGAATTAGGCAGATTATACATTTAGAGTGCTGTAAAATAAAGGACACAACAATTCCAAACACAAAAGAATGACGAATGAAACTTTACGACCCATAAGCAGTAAAAAAATATTGAGTGGCAAAATTGATACAGCTAGATCAGACGAAAATTGTGATACAAATATGTTGCAGTTTTTTACAGTACACCAGCGAAAAATGAATTCCAAAACACCAAACCATTTGTCCCCTTCCCTTTCTCATTTTCCCTTTATCTCTTCCCCTAAAAGCAGAAGAAGATAGACTAAGAAAGAACTCAACCCCAAAAAATAAAATAAATTCTGTCATAAAGACCATACTACACCGCAATTCTTGGAACAAAACCAATACAAACTGTATCTTATCAATATTTTCTCTCCCCTAGGCTATACAACACACATAAATGCAAATAGATGGCACGAAAAACACTGAGGAATAATGGCCCAGTGGTAATCAAATACTATAGCAAATCATTGCCACGAGCTAGAAAGAACTCCAATGATCTGAACTTTTTTTTGCATTCTGACTCTCAGATGAGACCTTAAATGGGCCGCTGGAACCAAATGGATCAGAGTCGTCAAATGAGTATCCTCGACTATGATCAAAACCACTGGTACTACTTATGGAGTCGAACCTCGTGAGAGTCTCCTTTCGTGGAGAAGATCCATGATCATGTGTACTGAAGGAATCATACCTTGAGAAACTATCAAAGAAAGGATCCTTTGATCCTACACTATACCTCGGAGAATTTCCTGCTCTTGAAAGTGGTGACCCAGGAACTGAATCCTCAAAAGTAAATGGGCTATTCTTCTGGTATCTACCTTCAGCCCCAGGAGATTCTGTTCTTATTGGACTTGCACCGAAATCAGTTGAGTCAAAGAAATGCTTCTCTCCATGTTTGACATGATCCGACTCCTGCAGGATAATGATTAGCCAATGTATAGGGAGACTTTGCAACATAGAGCAGATGTATAGGGAGACTTTGCAACATAGAGCAGATTAGCACTCTATCATCATCAACATATGGAAATATCTAAAAAGCAAAATCCAGCTGTGCACTTGAGATGATATCGGGAGAAGCAGGAATTTTCTTAATTGGGCGACCAAGATACAAAATGCAACTATTGAAATGGAAAACTCAAAACCAAACAAATAATAAAGGGGAACGGAAGAAAAAGTTCCGTATAAAAGATAAATTATCTTGTTTTATTCATAGGATGATGTCATTGCACACAATAGCAGCAACTTGGTAAAAGGAGGTAGCATTACCACTTTGCTATAAACTTTAGGCAACATTTTAGCTCAGATTACTTATACAGCAGATTATTCCAGCGGAATCCTTGCATATAACAAGAAGGCGACATCTAATAACACTAGAACAGGGGTAAATGTAAGTAAGGGGTTACCAACTAACCTTAGCATTGAAACCCCAAACAGAATCCACATCATCATTATTGTCAAACGTACCCCAGCCAGGTTCATCAAATCTGTTTACCCAATGAAAGGGAAGAAGAAGACATTAATGATTCAAAACTAACTATAGACCTGTGCACAAGTAGGGATACAGCATGTCAACAAGATCAAGGACACGCAGAAAGATTTAAGATAAAAGTTTGTTGGGCATTACTCAATGAGGGCAATGAAGAAGCATGTTTGTACTAGTAGGTATCTTCATCTTTTTAATATACATTATCCAATTAAAGAGTCAACATTCGGGTATAAAATGCCATTACGAACAAATGGTTGTTTATTCCCCACCCACCTACTCAAGATTCTCCTTGGTAATTACCCTAAAGCAAAACTGTTCTCTGAGCCTTAAAAGGACTCAGAAGCAAAAGGTAAATTTCCTAACTTTTTTTATTTCCAAGGAACTCTGGTGATACAAGGATGAGAGAAGCTAGGGATGCTTTTCTATTTTACTGTGGATGGGAAGATCTGTTTTTTGGAGAACATACCTTTATGGGAAATACGCTACAACAACAACATACCCAGTATTATC